GTGATGTTCTTTGCTCAGGCGCAAGCTGGCAGCTCGGCTCCAGGAAGCAGAGGAGGCGGCAGAGGCAGCGCAGGCCCGAGCGGCCAGCCTGGAGAAGGCCAAGCAGAGACTGCAGGGAGAGGTGGAGGACCTCACCATCGAACTGGAGAAGGTGCTAGACACTCACTCACGGATACGTTAGTGGAAAGAAAATATGTAGACATAAACCATTCAATCATAACATGTCCCTGTTTTTCATTGTAGTCCAATGCCGCAGTTGCTGCCCTGGACAAGAAACAGCGCACCTTCGACAAGATGATTGCTGAGTGGAGCCAGAAGTGTGAGGAGCTGCAGCTGGAGCTGGACAACTCCCAGAAGGAGTGCCGCTCCTACATGACTGAGGTCTTCAAAATGAAGACGGCTTATGAAGAGTCACTGGATCACCTGGAGACTGTCAAAAAGGAGAACAAGACCTTGCATGGCAAGCACACTAAAATTAGAGAAGATCTGAAAATTAATTCTGCTATGCTTATTTATGAAGTACATGGAGATTTTTATCTGGGTCACACACTCGGTATATATAAATTATTAAGGATCATAAACATGTAAGGAACTTGAATATCTTGCATGGTGAGCATAAGATTTACTACATCTGCACTTAGACGTAATGTCACATAAGCTGCTTATGAACACAGCAAGGTTTTTTTTAAGCAAACCATACAGGGTAAAGTGTAAGACACACAGTGCATGAAATTTTCTCAGATCAATTTAGGTCTAGAGGAATAAACAAAATCACACATTTTGGCAGTTGAATAACAGGATGCTCCTATTTAACCTACAGAGGAGATTAAAGACCTCGTGGAGCAGCTGACTGAGGGTGGGAGGAGTGTCCATGAGCTGCAGAAGATCAAGAAAAAGCTGGAGATTGAGAAAGATGAGTTGCAGGTGGCTTTGGAAGAGGCTGAAGCTTCTCTAGAGGTAATGAGGTCTCTCTAGAGAAAAAGGCTAGAAACATACACAGTGGCAGTTTGTTTTTTACAAGATCCCACTACATTTTATTAGACCTGGCTAAAAACTGTAAAATTAAATCAATAAATTATTTAGTAACCAAGTACATTTTGGAAGGATATTTCATTTTGAGTATACAAAGGTTTATTGGACATTATGAATGTATGAAAGCCAGAGGGTACAATGCTTTTTGATTGTCTTATAACTTTAGAGGATCGCTAATTTGTAACATTGGTCTCCAGGTTGAGGAGAGTAAGGTGGTTCGTATCCAGTTGGAGCTGGCTCAGGTGAAAGCTGATATTGACCGAAGAATCCATGAGAAGGAAGAAGAGTTCGAAGTTACTAGGTAAGGTGTTTCACCAGAATTCCTAAAATGTTCCTTGGGGAAAGAGTATCAATTTAACTATATCCTCCCCAAAAAAACTTTTATGAGCTTTGAGAGAGCCAGGTTTATCTGGTGGCAAGTGCTGAACTGTATGCAGATAGCAAAGTAAAAAATTAACTGCACATAGAAATTGAATATGGGCTTGGTCCTCTGTTCTCAATTATTGATTATTTCACATTTGTATGGATCACACAATCACATCACACAAGAATTTTTAAGTCCTTTTCATTATGAAGTAAAAAAGGTTGATGATTTTACCAACAGAGGATCCAGTAAGTAGTACTGTTTCCTATCTGTAATGTCTAAAATTTTCAATGGGTTTTCCAGGAAGAACCACCAGCGTGCCATTGAGTCCCTGCAGGCCAGCCTGGAAGCTGAGGCCAAAGGTCGGGCTGAGGCTCTGCGCCTGAAGAAGAAGATGGAGATGGACCTGAATGAGATGGAAATCCAGTTGGATCACGCCAACAAGAACAACAGTGAGCTGGTCAAAACTCTGAAGAAGATGCAGCAGCAGATCAAGGTAGGAATCTGTAAAAAACACCCTAACTCATCTCAGAGACAGTCCATTTCAATTCACTTTATTCTGAGCTTTACAGCTTGTAGTTTTCATCTTGATGTGTCCATAGGTGTGCATCTATACATTTCTTTGTGATGGTTTCTGTTATAAAAGACAAGGAGATATGTTTATATTTTCTTATTTATTTGGAGGATGATTCCTCAAGTCCCACAATATTTAGAATAATAAAAATCAGATGTTAACAGTATAGAAGAGCTTCAGTTTATTCCCACAGCAGTAGGCCAGACTGTGGTGATGGTGAAATCTCTGACCTCACCTGACCTGACCTGACCTGCTGCAACCTTCCCCCTCTCCCTTCCAGGACATGCAAATGCAGATGGATGAGGACGCTCGCCAGCACGAGGAGCTGAGAGAGCAGTACAACCTGCAGGAGCGGCGGCTCAGCCTTCTTCAGACCGAGCTGGAGGAGGTGCGCAGCGGCCTGGAAGCCTCCGAGCGCTCCCGCAAACTCATTGAGCAGGAGCTGGTTGAGACCACCGAGAGATACAATGAGCTCAATGTGCAGGTAATCACTGCTAATGAAGCCTTGGATGGGAGAGAATTGTACAAATAACATCTTAACCTTACACACAGGTGAATCTATTAATGTACATATCTACCTCTGGATACTAATCACTGCTCTCTGTATAAATTAGTCTTAACACAAGCCTGGATAAGTAGCAGTATGCATTTCTTGCCGTAAGAATATTATTAATAATTGTACTTCCTCAAAGTGTAATTTTCTTTACATTTCCTCAGTTGTGGATTCAATGGATTAAATGCAGTACCATAGCATTGTACTATAGGAGACCTGCCATTAGCATTGTTCTTAATATTGTTTGAAGCAGGACTTTTTCTACAAGGAATGTGTTTTTCTAATATAATGTACTTTTAATATAGTTTTATGTATATTGGTATATTTTAAAGCTAATTTTGGGCTTTAGAATGTTAAAAGAATACACAAGAGAAGCTTAAGAGAATACATAAGAAGAACAAGAAGAGTTCCTGCTTTAAAAAGTCTCTCTCTCCTACAGAACCAGAGCCTGATTATCATAAAACGTAAACTTGAGGCTGACTTTCAGCACATTACCAATGAGAATGAGGAGCTACTGAGTCAATTCCGTGCGGCTGATGAAAGAGCTAAGAAAGCTGTCACTGATGTAAGCCTCTTATTCCATCGCTATGCATATTTCTTTGTAAAAATGTAAATACATTTTAATGTAACTGTATTTGTTGGCAATATGGCCAAATGCATGGCTGTAATATCAATAATGATTTTTAGTGTTTTAATATATGCTTCACTTTTTCATGCATATTCTTAGGTCTTACATTTTTAATTTCTCAAACCAGATGTTGTGTTCTCCCTCATTTATGTTGATACTGTAGGTAATTTAGCCTAGTATTTATTTTTACATTTAATTTCAAATGCAAAGTAACACTTTTTGTTTGATCAATGTCTGATTTATGTTGAGAAAAGAACAACTGAATTTCCTAGTTTCCTAGTTCCTAGTGTCTGATCAGCTAGGTGTCAGTCTTGAATATATACTGTACAGAGCTGTACTTGTTCTAGGCCACACGCATGGCAGAGGAACTGCGCCAGGAGCAGGATCACTGCATGCACCTGGAGAAGATCAAGAAGACCAACGAGATCACTATCAAGGACCTGCAGTTCAAGATAGAGGAGGCTGAGCAGCTCGCCCTGAAAGCAGGCAAACGCACAATCCAGAAGCTGGAGACCAGGGTAAGCAAATCAATTTGTACATGAAAAGATATCTTTTTTTGTTGATTTGTAGCATGTGCTTTCAAAGGTAAGGTGTGGCATAGAAAGGTTATAACCCTCAAAGGCACAATATTCTACCATTTCCTTTAACAATTTTAGCATGAAAAACTTTTATCTATTATACATATATTGACTTGAACCTCAGTTTCTCCAAAGACAAGTCCAAGACTATGCAGAAGGGGGTCTCCTGCCATCAGACAACAAGGAAAAGGTTTTTTTAGGCCACAAACTATATAGCCAGAGTCGAATGGCTCCAAGGGGGTGTTGAGTTAGGGTCTGTAAACCACTACAGTTAACCATATAATCCTACAGACCCCACAGGCTGATCAGAAGAAATGTGAGACCACAGTGTTGCTTGTTCTGTATTGATACATTTGACATGCAAGACCTTTAATGTAGCAGGTGCTTTTCACTCATTGAGGAGAGAATGCAGGAAGTTGTGAACTGTGGAGATATCACAGAAGATAAGTTCCATATTCTGTGCACCAGAACAAGAGGAGTCTCCACTCCTGCAGGCATACTGATGCCTGAATGGTGCAGACCACAGTATCTGACAGCCCTAGATCTGAGAGTCTATGTTGATCCAGGGTGAGAGACAGGGTTCACATTTCTAATAATTGTTCTGTTGTTTTAATTAAAGTGGTTCAGAATAGCTTTGAATTATCTTGGCGAGAACCCAATGTCAAGGTCTAATCATAAATTGTGCTCTGCATACTTCTCCAAGACCTGTGTTGTAGAAGGAAAGCATGCACATGGCTTCAATCGGTCTTTATCCATTTGGTACAGATAAAGGACCTGGAAACTGAACTGGATTCAGAGCAGAAGCGCCACGTGGAGACAGTGAAGAATCTGTGCAAGAATGAACGTCGCCTCAAGGAGCTGGTCTTCCAAACAGAGGAGGACCACAAGACCAACCAGCGCATGCAGGAGCTGGTGGAGAAGCTGCAGAACAAGCTGAAGTCTTACAAGAGGCAGATTGAAGAGGCTGTGAGTATCTGACCAAGGAGGCAGGATCTCAGGCCTCTACAAAACTCACACTGCAAAACTGGTATCACAGAACTTAAAAATCCCATCACCCTTACCATTCTTATTCCTGCCTCAAACACTGAAGCAGTGAAGTATTATGGATCTGAGGAGTCCTGTATTTTTAAAAAAGGAAGTACTGTATGTAATCACATAAGTCATTGTAATAATCCAGTTATACAATAATAATCCAGTAATTACAACAGAACAGTAAGTATTTAAATACATGTACACATGTTAAAGGTTGTCTCTTTTAATAGAATTATATACTCTAAAGCCAAAATCAGTATACTGTATATTTAAAAGATGGAGTTTGGTGCAGTTGTCTGTAGGTGGTTCTGCAGTAGGTGACTGCTGTTTCTCTGTTTCTCTGCTGCAGGAAGAACAAGCAAACCAGAGCCTGTCCAAGTACAGGAAGACTGTCCATGAGCTGGATGATGCAGAGGAGAGAGCAGGCATGGCGGAGTCGGCCCTGAACAAGCTGCGCACCAGGAACCGTGCCTCTGTGGGCAAGGGCATCACCTCTGTGGAGATCATCCAGGTGTCCAAGTCCTCCTCCTCCAAGAGTGTCTCCGAGGAGTAGGCTCCTGTCCACGCTGGCTGGCAGGTAAGAGCACTTGATAGGATTTATTTTTACTTCTAAGCTCTTTTGCTGGCTTTTCTCTTTGGTCTGTTATTTACTTTAATAATTATTTATCATAATTAAAAGCCTTAGAAGTCTACCATATAAGAAAAAGAGGTAAACACAATTAAATTAACTATCCACTTATCAGTGGATAGAAAAAACTGGATCTTAATCTTAAAAGTTGAATTTATCGTAAGAATTGAAGACAAGTGGTTAAAAATATTCTCCATTGCCTTGAATTTAGCTGCACTGTGCTGTATTCAATAGTTCACAGTTTAAATATTTTTTCTTGTTAACTACTGTACAAAGCTAAATGGAATAAATTAAATGTGTTCATATTTTCTGAATTTGGTACTTTTAAAGCAGTAACAATGATTAATATTGGGCAATTTTCAAAAACAAGTCATACATTTACATTTTTGTTAAATTAATTTGTGTTATGGACTATTTGATACTCCAAACAGTTCGGGGGGAAAAAATATCTCAGTAAACCAAGGGATGGGTGTATTTGTAAACCAATTAGCAAACTGTAAACTTAAGTGCAAGTTATTTTGGTTTAAGGATTAGTGGTCAGTATCACCTATAAACTTTACTAGAATGTGAAGTTACCACCCTCTAGTCCTTCTGAGAAAGGGTGGAGAAAATAAATAATATAAAATATACAGATACTAATGTAATATACAACCACCCTAACAAACAGTAAACCAATATCACTTGTCAAGTTTAAGGATTTACAGTCTGTCAGTGGGTGAGCGTCAACTCACTATGCTGTTTGTGAATTAGCTAATACAGAGTAGCTAGGACTGTAGTTGTGGCTCCATGCACCTTCTGTGGTGTTCCAGAAGGGTCTTGTAATTTAATTGTATTAACCAGATGACAATAAAATCATTCAATAGTATTCTGCATCGGTAGTAAGGGGGTTTCTCTACAGGGCGTCTGCACCTGGTCCATGAGTTGGAGACTGGGTTGTACGCGTTTATATCAAAATAAGGCTGAAACTCGTTCTATGGGTTGGACTACGCATTTACATCCGTTCTGTCAGTTTTCCCTCTCTTTCAATAGTGAAAATGGCGATTGGTGGTATATTGGTGAGTTTGATTACGATGTCTTAGGCAATCAGTCTTGTTCAGAGGGGTTGAACAATGTTAGCCGTTACTATTAGCCAGACAGGAAAATCCTTTGTACGGCATTTCAAAGAGACAAACTACCAACGGTATGCCTGGCTAACAGCCAGCCCTTGATTGAAAAAGTTCTTCTGTTAGGATTACCTGCTTTTCAGCTGTGATTATGGGGCATGAAATCAGAAGGGTTTCGATAATTTGAGCTGTTCGACAAAGGCGACTAAATTACACTGGGGCACTTGGAAACGCTTATAAAAAGGAAATGAGTTCGATGCAACAGGATTGATCTTGCACTGGATGAGCAGAGGAAAACTGATTTTGACATGCACAATGCTATAGTTCGAAGAAACAGGGACACTCTCAAGAGCCATGGTATTTTTTCAAGTCCATGATGTCACTAACAACAAAACCACTGCTGCAATCTCAGAGAAGATTTAGATATTTTGGGGGAATGTGACTATAAAGCTAATTAGCTGCCCAGAGCGGCTTCTTTTCAAAATCCCCTAAGTAAGTCACCTGCTGGATGAGATCTGTGAAGAAATGAAGACTATCCTGTCTGGCCCCAGCCCAATGGAACTTCACATGGGGACTCGTCTGCACTGTTCCTTTTGAGATTCTCCAAAACAAAAGCCGGGACGTCTAATTTCTGTGGTGCGATGAAGAATGAGAGGATAATCTCCTTTCCTATGAGGAATCTGAGAGAGAGACCAGTGTGTCTGGCTGGAGGAGGAATCCCAAAGAAGACATGTGCAGACACTACCACAGCCGCACAGTGATCACAGACTATTCTAATGCAAATCAGGTGTTTCCTTTTTTGCTTTATTGGATCCTCAACATTTCAACTCCTACAAGATGTTCCTTGGGATTGGGGAGATGCCCGAGATGGTGATGTACTCTATGGCAGATTGTGCAGGGAAGAGCCCAGGTGACCTTCTTCTTCTCCTTCAGATGAAGGAACTTACTAAGAGCCTGTCCTTGCTCTACTCCCTGACATACCTGGTTGACTGGTCAACTGCCTCCATTGAGCAGAGCTTCTCTGCTCTGAAAAGAATAAAGACTTATGTGAGAAACTTGACAGGACAAACCAGGTTGTCAATTTTGGCACTCTTTGTGATCGAAGGGGATCTTCTCATCCAACTCAAGAGAAAAGACACATTTTACAATCAAGTGATTGAGCATTTCATTGTTAAGGAGAGGAGAATGGACTTCATTTTTAAGTAACCCAGATCTGGTGAGTGTTATGGTTTATTATCAAATGTTGCCTGATGTTATGAAATAGAATGCTTATAAGGGTGATCTTTTGTTTAGCAATGTAGGCTATTTAATTGTTATTGTTTATAGGAATGAACCTTGAAGTTCTACTAGTTGGCAGCAGGATGTGTTAGAAAGAAATGTGAGTGCTTCAATTTGGGTTGAAGATTGTTTCAAATTTATTTTGTGCCGATGTTGCTACCAGCTGATAAAATAATGTTGATTTCTGGACTTAAGGTTGACTGGCTGCCTGCCTGTGGCTTATTTTGCATACATAGCTCAAGGAATACACAAGTGAAACATTTGTAAAGCACCACAGTTGTTGTATTTGATTTGGCTGTTGTCTCTTGTGGCATTGTTTTGTCCTGCCCTGTTGTGGTTTTCCGTTTGGCACAGTGAGTAAATGGCCACATAAAGTGTGTGTGTACGGGCATGTGTCCGCTATAAAGTACTCCCCTTTTCTTGAATCACGCAACCTCCCCAGAAGGGGAGTATTTTTCCACCAACAGTCCCGGAGGGGTTTGGACCCGCGTAAGGCGTTTTTTTTCTTTTTGCCTGTCCCGTCACATAACTTCACCGGACCAGGCACACCATTTTTTTCAAATACTAAGTTTTTATTTTGTTTTGGCCTTACGCACCCCGTTAAACAGGGTCAGTCCAGTCTGGTCACCACTGTGCTTCTTTTTCCCAGACAGGACCTCGTTAAATAGGCAAAGCCCAGCCTATAGGTCGCGATGCACAGCGTTACACCTTTCTTTTGCTTTTTGTATCATTTTTCACCCTTTTTGTGTTATTTTTGGTCCCTGGTAACCTCACACGTTGACTTTTTACCAGTGCTCACTGTGGCTCCTCTCACTCCCACATTGTCACAACTATTATTACACAAAAACACAACCCTGTTAAACCCAATCTGTGGCATCATCAACCAGGATCACTGTGATTTAAAAGGGCATCGAATAGAATTTCTGCAAGACTGATATAGTAACTTCACCAAAGGAACCTGTTTTATGTGTTGGCCTTTTAGGCTCATTACAATGCATGAACTGAAACCTAGCTGATCACCACAATTGCAACTAACACACGGACTAAACAAATGCGGTTTGGTTGGCTAAATCTGACCAGTGGGCTATGCGCTGGACATCTCTGGTCTAGAAGATGTAAAGAATGCTTCAACATACATTTCCTTTTTCACATACTTACCAATAATAAAGATCCCTGTGGTACTCCTCTAATTACATTACTGCAATCAGAGCATTCACTTCTTATTTATACTCAATGTATTCTGTCCATTTTAAATTTCAAACATATGTATTACCTTGAATAGATTCAAATGGGGATGGGGAGCTGTGTCAGTGTGCACGTTTGAAAGAATAAGTCATGTTTATTTTCTCTGTGATATTAAGAGGTTGCTTTCTGAGAAAGTAATTATCTTGGCTCAAAACCTAAACCTAATTACAGTAGGCACAGCTGCACTGAATATGTCTTTACCACTCAGAGGGAGTGGAATTCCAAGAGAGAAAAAGGAGCCACCAGGATACATATTATGTCGAATTTGCCACTCCTCTAGACTAAGAAGTTAAATAAACTTGTTTTAAGCTAAAAAGCTTCAGTCTAGGCTCACCAGGCTGCAGCCTAGAATGAAAGAGTGAGTTCCATGGGAGAGTTCTAGTGGAGGACTGGGCTGATTACAGGCTTCTAGGAACTGGTAAAGGAGTTTTGAGAAACATTAAGGTTAGACTGTATTTCCATGGACAATGTGAATTAAATGTGGTGCTGAGGAACAGTATTGGCTTAATGTTGGGAGGTGGAGCAGGGACTCCAAGTAGCAGGGCATCACTTTGCTAGGTAGCAGTATATATTTTTTCTTCACAACTGAGAGACAGGAATTAACATGGCACAAGTTAAGGTTCACAAACAGTTCCTACCTGGACGATCTGTAATCTGGGTTTGACCACTGTAACCACTAAAACTGTTTTCTAGTCAGTTACAGTCTAATACGGTAACAGTCTCGTTACGGTTCCCTTCAATTTTGCCTACAGTATATCAAAGTAATTGTAGGGAATAGAGGAGGTATATTTTGTTTTATCTTTTATAATTAACTCAAAACATCTGTCATTTAAAGACACTTTATATTTTATATATATATTGTATTGTTGTAAAAATCTTTGGTGTTGCATAAATGTTTAAATACTGTACATTTGGCTGGCATGTGATTTACTCTTAAGTTAGAACAGCAATTTTAGGTTTATTTTTCTTCATCTTTCCAATGTCACCTGCGCAGCAATTCTCTTGATTTTCAAGCATAAAAGCATAAAAGGGGGGCAGTCTTTTAGACTGATCAGAATCTACCCTAAACAGCATTTCTACAGATCTATTTCTGAATCCCTGATTAAATGATTTAATTTAACCTTTTTTCCCTTTCCTTTACTATTTTTCAAAAGCAGCATTTAAACTTTGTGTATCCTACAATTTCTTCTAACTTTTACCAGTTTTGCCTTAAATTGGAGACTCAGGCATGCTTTTCACATTAATCTATATCCACATCACTAAATATGAAATATCCAAAATCTATGTACTTTGTTGTTCTATGAACATACTTGAATAAATATGACACGTTTCTTCTGATTCTCATGATATTCATAATAACTCTTGTCTTACTTAGAGATTTTCTTTATTATTATCAAAATATATTATATCTTTTGGTAGGAATGTACTGTAAATAAAAGAATGAAATATTTCACCCATAACACTAATGGCAGCCTTGCTAGAGCATAATTAATGAACTCTGCAAATCCAAGAGAAACATGAGCATTCTGGAATGTTAACAAAACTTTTCCAGTGCACAACTGATGTTCTAATCTATTTTCTTAATCTTTTCAGGGTGACATGCACAACTACCCACTCCCTTTCCCATGTGGACTGTTCCCAAGCAAAAAGCAAGACAGCTAGAAGACACTCCAAGTCTTATAAAGACTTGTGGAAGAATCCAGTTTACTGAAGTTTTGTCTTGTCCTGCTTGTTGTGTAGACTTGTGTCATAATGATGGGATTGGATTGGGAAATGCTGCACTTTCATATCAAGGATGGAAAGTGCACCACTGTATATCACCCTGCTACTGAATGTGCATGAATGCACTGTTTCAAAGTCTTAAAAGTAAATGTCTTAAAGCATAGTTCTAATAAAGCAAAGCAATGAGCAAAGCAAAGCATTGTGTTTTTGAGCCTTAATTGCAAGCTAACAGAGATGAAACTTTCTTTCCACAGTGATTTTGTTTGAAGTCCATTTCCTCCAAGGGCATTTTTTTACAGCAGTTGTTGTTGCTACTAATTTGCCTCTGATACTCTTTTAAACAAAATGAATTTACATTTTGTTTGCCTTATGATCATTATGATCATCAGAGTAGTTACAGAGGAACCAGAAAAGTAAAGACAGAAAGGTTAACTGTATTTAATTTATTTTAGAGGAATAGCACAGCTGTTTCTCGTCTCCAAAATACAGCTCAAAAGTTTAATCAAATGCCAATTACAATGAAAAGAGATGATGATTATAAAGGAACAGTATATTTGGTGTTAACGTGCCAGGCTGTGGAAATGATGGCACTGATCCAAGATCAGAACTCCGCTCACTTATCAGAGATGAACCAGGGAAAAAATGCTGCAATGGTGAAACTATGGTGGAGGAAGGTGTGCCAGAATGCCCACTGTGCCATGTGTAACCAAGGGGCATTTATGTATATGGAAACACGGTTGGGAAATTAGAATTTGAACTCCTCCCAAACTTATGTTAAATACCATTTCAGAATCTCACTCAAACTCCAAAAAGGACAAAACAAGCCACTGAATATAAAGGCATTGTGTACTTAATACTTTAGTGATAACTCGCATGGCTAATGACCAGTGCTGTTGCAACCCACAAAAAATATCCAAAATACCAAAGCAAATTTCAAACATGGAGCTAAGAGTGAATTGATTCAGCTGCAAATTTTCGCAGAAAGGGATATCAGCTTCTTTTGCAGATGAAAGTTTTGGGAGAGCGAAGAGTTGAGAGCCAACACCACACCAGTTGGACACCAATCAAGGAGGGGTTAAGGGGTGGTAGAAACCATTTACCATAGCAACCAGGGCCATGCTGGCACCGGAGACAGCAAGGACTATAAATTAGGAGGCCCAGATTTAGTGCACATTGACACCGGGTGCTGGCACCCATAGGGCAGAGTGTATGTCAGCAACAGGGTGGGCTCCTGCAGAGGCAGTGAAAAGAAGGAATGTATAAAGGTAAAGAAACAAAAACAACAAAGATATCCTGGAGCCACAGGTGCAGTGAGTTGTGCAACCAGAAATAAAACTTAAGGGGGATAGAAAGCAAAGCAAAGGGAGGCTGCAGGAAAGGAGAGAAAGAGGAAGCAGCCATGGTTGTTTGGGTGTCCCAGGAAGTGGTGACTTCAGGAGAACTTGAAGAAGCAGGATAATTCATAGCAGGTACAGGGAAGAGGAGAGGTTGAGGTTCGATAGCTGCTAGAGCCAGGCTGCACTTGGAATAAGCAAACAATGGTCAGATCTCTGAGTCTGGCAGTGCTAGGAAGGGTGATGAGCACAAGAGGATGATAAGGCAGGATCCAAGCAATTAGTGCAGGACAGCACAGAAGTAATAAAGCTAAACTCTAGCAATGCACAGTGCAAGAGAGCCATCCATCACTGAGTAGAGTAAACATCAAGTGTTAAGAAAAGATTCATGCAGATTTGTGGACAGCCAGTGAGCGTTTACATAGTATGTAAGAGAGTAGAAAGCATAATTATTAATTGACCTTCTGAACAGCTGGTAAATAACACCATGTCTGGTAAAAAAATAAATATAAAAGGGTATAGAAACAATGAAAAGGTCAGTCAGAAATGGTGATAGACTCAAGTGCTTACTCCAACAAAAAAATTTATGTAGATTTTCCAATCAAAGATAATAGATTTCCAGAGTTAAATGAAGAATTATATTTCACTCCATAAATTTAATCATGTTTTTAAATGTTTTGTAAGTTTTTGAGTGTTTACATTTTTATATTTTATTACAATTAATAAGGCTACATAGATATTAATTTAAAAAAATAACCAATAATTTAAGTCTAAAGAGATAATTATTCAAGTGTTGTTACTTTAGAAGGATTAATAGGTGTATCTTGAATATAGTACATACCCTAATGAACGCAATGTTAGATGTAAAGCATTGGTAAATTGCTGTCTTTTGAGGTAATGTAACTTTTGTAATATACATATTTAAACATTTGTGATACTCTATTTGTCCTATTAATAAAAATTTTAACATGAAAATAATACCCTGGAGGTTTAGGGCATATACAGGTCCTATTTTAAGAACCTATTAAAAATCATGAATTGAGATACAGGTTTTCTGCTACACAGTTTTAATTAAATTGAGATTTATTTAATAATTACATTTAAAAAATTGGAGGAATGCTAAACTGAAACTGTGAACTGTTTCTATTATAATGTCTGGGGGGATATTGTTTTTCAGCCTGAATCTCGCTTCTACAACGAAGTAACTAATTTTACATGTGTCTGTGATAGAAATAGAAAAAATTTTGGGATTGGCTTTTTGATTGTAAAAGGTAACACATCAAAAAATGCTATTGATGATTTGAGAGGCATAAAAGGAATGTTTTTTCAAAGCACACACAGGTAGCAACACACACTACATTGTATTTAGGAAACACTGTATTATAGAAAACCTATAAAGCACAGCGAGCGACTTAAGACCAATTCTAGAAGTCCCGAATATTTGCAATGTGCACAATAAAGTGGCCAGTAAGCACGATCGTTCAGATGCCACAGGCTAAACAAAGACACATAGAAGCACAAGTGCAGTAAAAACAGGTGCAATAAAAATAAACAAAGCCACATTTTTTAGGGAAGTGCATGGGCAATTACGATGAATAAAATAAATTGTACTCCACTGGAAACAAGCTTCACACAACGCGAAAGACAACACAATGGAAGACAGTTTCATACAAAGCAAATGTGTTTAACGTAACAAACTATTGCAAAAATAAATGAAAAATATAATGTCATACCTCATGATCATCTTCTGTTGAATACAGTGTTGCGCAAGCAGTAAGATTCTGAAATTCCTTCTGTTTTGAATAGTTGTGTGCTACACCTATTACACCGATATAACTCGTGCATTTGACTGGTCTAAGAAATATAGTTTTGTATACACATTATATAGTTTAATTTATATGTTATGAATTCTTTATGTATTCTGAACCGCCAAATTCGTGATGCCATATTTTGTACTGTATATACTGTATTTACTGTATCTGTTGGTTGCAAACGTTTAAGTTTGATCGCAATGTCGCCGAATTCCTTTACAAAATACCCAGGTACATCTTCCTTTTTTGTGCGTTTATATTTTCTATTGAATAACGCAGAAAGTGGCAGAAGTGTTTCTTCTCCTGGACTTTCGTCTGTTTCAAGAATGATAGTCGAACATAATGCTCATAACGAATTATACACAATAAAAAAGAAAATGCATCTTCAGAAAAATGAGCATTTCCAAATTAAGTGTTTGTTATCCAATTTGAAAATAATGCATTACATTTATTTTTTATCATCATAAAAGTACAATAAAAGATCTAAAAAACATTTCAGCAGAATTTGTCATTTCACGTTGAAACAAGTTTGTAAAACCTAGAGATTAAAATCGAGTAATGTTAATCATGTACAGTAGCTGAAATCGCATTTACAGTATACAGAAGAAAAGGTCGTGGTACTGTACATCGAATGAAGACACCGCCAGTGATATTTCAGCGTTGACTTATCCAGCTGCGAGTTTTTTGTTCATTCGAAAACCTAAAATATTTTATTTCGCAAATACATAAACGTTATTTTTTTAAAAACGAGTCATGCGCGTATACATCTACGTGTAAAAAGCCGCATTTTAAACGCTGTTCTCCTGCCCAAGTAGTAGTATCACAATATAAGGCTTTACATAACGACGTCTACTGTGTGTTCACTCAATCAACGCCTGGCACTTGATAGTTTTAACAGCGGCAGCCTAGAAAAACATCCTCCCTTTGGGCGCTGAAATTTCATACCCTAGATCTATTAAGGAGCCAATTTTAGCAGTTCCACAGCTCGGCACTAATTAAGATGTAGAGGGTGCGGACATTTTTAATGCTTCTCATTCTAAGAAGTGGATTCAAGAACGTTTACAATGGCATTATATTCATTCATTTAATAATACTTTTGCTAGTTACCCGTATAGTATACACTTGACAATAACCCACAGCTTTATAAGATGCTTATGTGCGTAGGTTATCCCCCTTTTTAATTTGAAGATGCCTTAGTTCAATCAATGCGGTAATGTTTTAGCCTGCAGTAATACAAATATGTTCCAAATGAAGTCTTTCGAGTTTTAAAGCACAATAGTGATGTAAACTTGAAAGGACTTATGGTAAATTTATTCCTCTGCATCTTGTTTTAGCACACCAGAATATGTTGGTAATTCTCACTGTCTCCTCAGGGAGGCCTGTGGCATCCTCCTCCAGGGAAAGAGAGAAACAGCTGAGAATGGGACTTGAGCTCCTGTCTCATCCACAAAGCGTGAACCGAGCGGCTAAGACATCTAAATGATTATTTGATTTATAACATTAAGTGTCAAACAGGCACCGTTTATTCTGTGGAAAACACAATTTTATGGTTTCAAAGCACACAAAATGTTATACTTCATTAGGATATTCACACTTTCCAAAGGTGCTGAAAGCTTGGAAAAGGCTATTTAAAATATATTACAAGCATATCATTGGCTGTAATAAGTGGCCAATTAAACAATTTGTGATTAACAATTTAAGAACCATGACAACAATTATGATATAGAGGGGTTACTGACATAGATTGCAGTGTATATGACTATAAACTATTTTTAGAATTTTTAAATCATAGTACTTCCATCTAATGAGAATATGTGTATCGTTTTAAAATGATGTTTCTTGAAACGTGCAAGCTTAGAAAATTCTTAAATGATTTTTTTAAAGTATCTTGGCACACATGGTGGCCAAAGCAGAAGATAAGACATCTTTAGCTTCCCAAAAAGGGCAAAAGAAGACTGAAGAATTCCCCAAACACCAGACCATCAATGGAACCTCTCAGGACCAGTGCTGCCACTTGAGCCTTTTGGTAATGACGTCTTTAATAGTTACTGCTTAATCAGGCGTTCCAAAAGGTCATATATAAAGGATCCCCCATGACTGCCGGCAGCATCATCTAGCCCTCTCTTTCTCTTGTCTTCCTCTGGTGAGTATTCAGATAAATCAGCTGCATATATGCTTTGAATTTATTCTCCCTTTATCCCTTTAAGAAGAAGATAATTTAGATTAGGAAATTATAGTACAATAGAGAATGGTTTTGCAGTTAAGGTGGCATATAGGTTTAAAGCCTTCAGTAAAGGTATGTTATGAGCATTAAGAGTTTACACGAAGTCTCCACTTGTGTTTTCTACTATTGTGTTGTTGGTGCAGCTCAAGCTGGGTGAGAAGAAAACCAACTGTGTCTAATCCATAGCATTTACCAAAGAAACCTTAATGACTCATTATTAATTATCTAAATTATTTTTTTTAAAATTAATGCAGTTTGCCTAGTACCATGTACATGAGTATTTTACTGTATGTCACAGCAGAAGAACATATCCCCTGTAGTACAGTCTTGGAAGAGTTATGGTCTGTAGTAATTAGCATAATTTAAGTCTTAGCAATGGAATTATTGAGTTGAGAATAGCACCACCTGGCAGTTCCATGCTTTTGAACTGTTTTTGTCAATTTTCTTTGCAGCCTCACACCGGGAGGTATCCTGAATTCTCTTTTCTGCTTCTTCTTCTGCTTTCGGAGAGTTACTCACCATGCCAGGAGGTTATAAAGGAGAGTGTGGGGACGATGTGGACCCTATGCCTTTCCTGACTCCCTCTGAGCAGGAGAAGCTGGATGCCATGAGCAAGCCCTACGACATCAAGAAGTCCTGCTGGGTGAAGGACGAAAAGGAAGCTTTCATCGCAGCAGAGATCCAGGCAGAAAAGGGTGATCAAGTCACTGTGAAGACCGTCAAGAACACTGTAAGGAGCAGATAGAGCCAACAGGGTACAGGTCCAATGTACAGGCCTGTCACAAAATAGGTTTGCATGCAAAGATATTGGGTAGTTCTAAGGGAAGAACTAACAAGTTTTCCAGCATTAATAATTGTAGGTTACCAACGCAAGGATTTTGTGTTTTGTGTCTGAAAGTGGGAGGGGGAAACAGAAACATCAGAAAACACCTATATGTTCCTTCTGCAATTAATACATCAAATACTTAGACTTCTTCAAATCCACTCCATCCACCTCTGAAGTGCTGCACCTACTTGTACCTGAGTTATACACAGCAGGCCCACTGCACAGCAGATACTATGGAAATGTATTGTAATTTCCTGTGCTTTTTCTTCCAGACTCTCACCTTGAAAAAGGATGATTTACAGCAGATGAATCCTCCCAAGTTCTTCCAGGCTAATGACATGGCTAACTTGACCTTCTTGAATGAAGCCAGTGTCTTGGAGAACCTGCGCTCGCGTTACGTCACTATGAGAATCTATGTAAGTCCTGAGCCTCAGGGAGCCCTGTTCAAATGTACACAGTAAAGACCTTAGTACTAATGTACCCAATACAATTTTAGAACCTCTTCAATATGCAGAACATTGATGATTTTTTCTAAAATGTTTTCATTAAATTGAAAATGAACAAAACAGGGAGAGTGTATAATATGCATCATATCCCCTATTTCAAAGTATGAAATTTTAATTTAATGTAATTTAGCTGGACATATGCTCAAGTGCATAGCAAAGCCAAGAGGCAAATCTTTTTCTCTTAATGTTAACATGTAAAAGAAATTAATAATATAATTTTGCAATGCAATATTCTACCCTTACAATGAACAAGTCCATTTCTTTTGAAATCTTTTTAACATTGCTATGTTGCCTGAGAAAACTCTTTTCTATTCAGTATGAAATATGAAGAAGGGAAAAAAATATATTTAAATCAACCTTTCCACCTTTTTAATACAATCTCCACCCAAACAAATTAATATCTGTTGACTGTAAATGTGACTTGTTTTCTTTCAGACGTATTCGGGGTTGTTTTGCGTGACCATCAACCCTTACAGGTGGCTGCCCATCTACGGGTCAAAAGTTGCCCTGATGTTCAAGGGAAAGAAGCGCAATGAAGTGCCTCCCCATCTCTTCTCCATCTCTGACAATGCCTATCATGACATGATGATGGGTAAGTCAACACATCACAGCGGGTGTGGTACTCAGAAATACACTGAGGAATGTTAAATGAATATAATACACAATTATGTATGGACAACAGAAACACATAACACATCTATTGCAGTGTTGTTTGCTGTTGTCAGGGGAACAATATGTAAATGAAGTGCAGAAAATTTAATGGAGAGAGAGATAAAAGAGAGCAGGTATGAAAGAAAGTAATACAGTATGCTCAGAGAGAAAGCTGGAGATTAAGGAATAAAATCTTATTTCTAGTGGGGAGCTTATAAATAGGGGGTGAAGTTGAAGTATCAGCAGCAATTATTAATATTGAAAAAGCTTATTGGGACCAACACTGAGCCCATGAACCTTAGAATCAGCTACTGTAGGTCCCAGCCATGTGTAAACACCAAGTGTCTGTGTACAGTCCCTTACAACCCTCTAAGGGAGGAAGAAAATAAACAAAAGCCCAAATAGTTTGTACTGATTCGTTGGCATTTTTTTTTGTCCACCACAGAGCATGAAAACCAGTCTATGCTGATCACGTAAGTCTATGCAATGCTTTTTTGAATTTTAGATAAAGGGTTAGACCTGTTACACATTGCTTTTTAACAACCTAATTCCTGATATCCACAGTTAATGAGCCTCATTTGAAATGTTTTGTTCTTGTCTTTAACATACTTCTTATATTTAAATGCCTCTTTGTCTTTTCCCAGCATTTAAGATATCTTTTACTTTTCTTAAATGTATCAATTCACAAAATAATGTGGTATATTCTTAAGTATTTTAAGCAAAATGCAATGGCAACATTATATATGGATCAGAAAGTTAAATGGAACTTAATCTGACTAAACTGTTATAAATCCCAGTGATGGATGGGATGAACTCAACTTTTATACTTATGAAGGCTAAAACTATTTAATAATTTATACATATCCATTTGTAGAGTAGGATTTTCTGCAAAAACATTTAGAAAACATTAGAAAAATTTCCTCTCAGTAACAGAGACAGAGAGATATCTTCCAATCATTTATGAAATGCTCTTCATAGTAAGGAATGTCCTACACATTATATAACTGAAAAAGGTTACATTTAAGAGAAATGTAACTTATTTCTGTCTTAGGTTAACCTGTGATTTTCATACATCTTTTATAACGTCAGTATGTTATTCTGTGTGAATTTATTGTAGCAATAAAACAGAGATCCCATAGTATCTATAATTCGGTCATAATGCCATTAAAGGATGATACTCTGAAATGAGTGATTCTGAGATTGTACTACAGTTAGAATGACAAAAGCCTGACACTCTCCGCTCTCCCCAGTGGAGAATCTGGTGCTGGCAAGACTGAGAACACCAAGAAGGTCATCCAGTACTTTGCCAACCTTGGTGCAACCGGAGGAAAACCATCCTCAGATTCCAAGGTAAATCTACTGCAGCAGGATGTGGGTCATTCAAGTACAGTATCTGCACTTCAGAGAGGCAGAGTGGGACGAGCCCGCTGAGGAAGCTGAGGAGACCAGCTATTGCTGGAGTTAATCTTCTGGGGAAACATGTTCTGTGATTTGTTTTAAATACAGCAGTGTATTTGTCCCACCACTGACCATATTGGAGTAACTGACCCTTAATTTAAAATGTAAAGCTCTTGGTTACAGGATATGGAAACCACACTAAAGTGATAAATGTCTCAGTGTGGACTCAATGTGGAGATACTTTGTTACCAATTCCAGAATTGTTTTTTGTACATTTTCACAGATATCAGTGTTTTGTAAATTTCGTAACTCAGTATGTGCAGATAAAATATTTTAATCTCACTACAATCTTCCATTTTAAGGACTATGCCACCTGAACAAGGGTACTTTCACTGTATTAACTGGCGGGACAATCTTTGATCTGTGTTTGACACAGGGCTCCCTGGAAGATCAAATCATCCAGGCCAACCCTGTGCTGGAGGCTTTCGGTAACGCCAAAACCACCAGGAACAACAACTCCTCCCGATTCGTAAGTCTCTTAATTATCACTTGTGGTGCAAGTAAATTACTCTCGCCGGATGAAATGTAGTGAATTTTTATTCATTCATGAGCTGATTTTATTTTCCTTGTACCATAATTGTATTATAAATACAACTTGATCCCCATATCTCCAATGCTTATGCATTAATCAAACCTTACAAATCTTCTATTGGACATGGTGTATTTAAAAGACCCCTACATGTCCTAATAGTGATTAATTACTAGAGATGTTAAATTAGGCTTTGACTACAATTTCAAATGTTTGTAGTCAAATGACTTTGACTTTAATTTCTATGTTGTTTATTGTATGAAAAACAACAGGTGATTTTTTTATTTCACATGTGCTTTCCAGGGTAAATTCATTCGAATCCACTTTGGGCCAACAGCTAAGCTGGCTGGTGCTGATATTGAAAGCTGTAAGTAAATACTTTCTGTTGGAAGGAATAGGTTCTATTAAAAAATCTCAAATTAATTATATATCAGTATTGAACTTTATGAATATTTTTTTCTTTAATTAAAAGCTGTGGTGAATAAAACAATTTTGACATAGAAAAACTTGCACATAGATGCCAATATTTATCCCAGAAGTACATCTAACCACCTGTTTTCCACCACTCACTTGTAAACAAAGATTTGAAAAGCTGTTTCCAATATCTGTCACTCCTGAATGAAGATCCTGAATCCAGGGTAATCTTAGAAAATCTTCCAAATTTAACATGTTTTCCACAACCATTTTATTTTTGAGAATATGAATAATTTCATTGAGTTCAGTCAAATTAGGTTCTTCTCAGAATGGGGAGCTGCACACCTTCACGTGACCTTAACAGGAGTTTGTTTGTTCCTGCAGACCTGCTGGAGAAGTCTCGTGTTATTTCTCAACAAGCTGCGGAACGTGGCTATCACATCTTCTACCAACTCCTGTCAGGGAAGTTGCCGGAAATTCTTGGTACGTTTAAACATACTAAGGATAAACAGCATGGGCAAAGCTACAGAAAGCCTTTGTCTGTTAAAAAGACAATCTCATCTAATGGCGAGTGAGGATGGTACTGTCTGTGGGTCAAGATTTTATGTGATTCTTTATGATGAGCTCTTTCATATTCAAGAACCAAATTCTGGAGTGTTGGCTCTCAGTCCATGAAAGTGAGAATTTCCATTGTAACTGATTATGTTTTAGTGTTGGGAGTTCCATCTGCAGGCTTATGTCTGAGCCATAACCATGTCTGAGCCATAAGGATTAGACCCTTTTTGCTTTTTGAGCAGACTTGTGTATAAACTAATGAAACTATCTGCAATTTCTCCTTCATTTCCATAGGCACTTTTCTTCTACTTACTGGAATTCTTGAGAGGCTATTCCTTGCCACTTTAAAGACCAATGCAGCTTATATACTGTAACTTTATTGGTTTGGTTAGAACTGAACTAGGTTAACATGCGGTGGTGATGTGCTTCCATTGAGCTTGTTCTGTGTATTGTCACTCACAGAAATGCTGCTGCTCACTCCTGATCCCCATCAGTATGTCTGGGTCTGCCAGGGTGTGACTGTGGTTGACAACATGGATGATGGAGAAGAACTGCTGCTCACCCATGTAAGTCAGAGTCCAGTGCTGATATTAACAAGGTTCTAGATTGGGTCCTTGTCTGTAGTCTCTGTAAACAGTGTGATTTGTGGGTGCTAGAGTAAGAGAGGCAGATATGAGATAAAATAACATTCGAATTTGAGCAATAGGATAGATGAACACCCTTCATGTTTCTTCATGACTGAGTTTGTAAGATTTAGGGAGAGCTAGGGTAAGGAATCTGGTAGAAGGCCAGGAACATATACTCATGTTGTATTCACTTGCATACATTTCTGGCTTTTCTTTCTATCAGTTGGTCTTATGCCATAAATATCTCTATTCCATACCAAGTAAATTGAATCTATCTGAGGCAAAAATGCCCTTATAATAACATCTTTTATCATGTGATATCAATGTACTTTTGTCATTTGACTACCATGTGGAATTTAGGTATTAAAACAACGGTGGGTTATACCTTGTCTATATAAGGGTCATTATTATGCTTATGATAGCTACAGTACAATCTGTCATGAATCTTCAGTTAGTTCATTGATTGCTGCTTAGACAAGATAAAGGAGGACATTTTAATCTATACAGATGAACAACCTTTATGTCCCGGTGTCTTACGCATGCTGTATATGATAATGTTCTGGCAGGATGCCTTTGATGTATTGGGCTTCACTCAGGAGGAGAAAATGAGTATCTACAAGCTAACTGGTGGCATCATGCACTTTGGCAACATGAAATTCAAGCAGAAGCCAAGAGAAGAACAGGCTGAAGTGGACACCACTGAGGGTAAGATGTAACATATCTGCCGCGTGCCTTTGCGCAGAGCACTGTTCACAAGAACAAAAAAATGTTACTATAAGGGAGGTGACAAAAAAGAGAAGGCTTTATGATCTGTCTAGATTATTCATTTGCTAGTAGCAACCTGACCGAAGGAAATAGCAAAATAGTGAAATTTGGAAATCGTGGTCTAGAGGCACACATCTATACCCTTGAGCTGATATTTGGTAGGGACTGGGGCGTGAACATGCTTGTCACAAACATCATTATTGGAAGTTTAGGTAATGTAAATCAAAAAGGCCCTACCATCTGGAAATACTCTGATCCTAGCAGAATGCCAAGAAGTTCTTCAATAATCCAGGTGTGCATCAGCCATGCAAATTCAGAATGTAGGCAAAAAAGGAAATATGGATACATGTTTTGATCATCCATTATTACCTTGGGATTTGTATACAGTATAGAATGTTAAGAGATACTGTACACAACAACCTCTGAAATGAAATTGTATCATTTTTATACAAGGATTTAGATAGAAAACTTCCAGCGTAATAAATTACATAAACTTCTGATGCAGACAAACTAGAATAAACTGCATTGCTATTGAATGCAATAAAATAAGGTTTAAAATAACTACTGTAATTATAGTAAATTGAGTGCATGAAATATCAAATATCAGCACATCAAAATTGGAGATCCCTTCAGCTTTTTTCCTTGGTGGTGCACTTTGTTCATTGTGGGATGAAGTGTAACATCCAAAAGCGGTTATAAATATAGCTAAAAGGCTATAGACTTTTAACAGTCTATTACTAAAACAGTTCTGTTACTAACAAGCAAAAATGGTTTAAGCAGTATGGGGCCTACTATTAGAGGATAACTATTTCAAACTGAACAGTCCTTTAAAAGTGTAGACAATATGGTTGCATGCAAAGACAGAATAGCCTGATTTTAAATGAAAAACTGAAGAAATTGTCTTTGTTCTTGAACATGATGAATGTCCTTCCTCAGTCATAATTCGTAATTAGTCCAAAATTAATTCTATAAATATCTGGAACATACAATACATATATACTGTAGTACACTGTAGAGTAGCACTCTGTCTTTCCCTCTAGGTGGGCTTTTGGATCTGGCCATATTTTTCAGTTCTATGATAAAGCATAATGCAGTATGGTATAGCAACCTGGTATTACAGTCTTCCTGTGCAAAAAAAATCTATGATCTTGATCAGACTCTTGAGGATGTGTTCTAAGATGATGGGACAGCCACTTGAGCAGAGTTTTCAAACTGAGTACTGGAATGATGAGTATGTTGAGACTTTTTGTTAGTATCTCATGTTCAGCAAGAAGAAAATCAATTCATGCCTTCAAATGTATGTTTTTAAGTCCCTCAGTTTAGACGTAACATAAGAAATGGAAAATCTTTTATACCATATTCAATCTAACTGCTCAATCAATAAATGAGTTTGCAATTGATGAGTAATGGTTAAAGGACAAGTGCAATCAATAGATTATGTGAAAAAGTGAAGGGGTAATACATAATTTTATAGGCTTAGTGTAGTTCTGGGGGGAAAATTTACAGGGTTCTGGTGTAGTTGCATGGCTTCCTGTAGGAGTATTGTGAAATGAATAGGTGTGGCTAGATGCCTGTAATGAAATGTAATATTTACTTGCACTGCTTGTATGTTTTGTTAGTTTCTGTGTGTATTAAAAAAAGCTGCTTTGATGCAAGAAACAATTCTGTCACAAATTTCATTAGAAGGACTCCTCATTTTACCTCAGTAAAGTAACTAACTGGTAGTTAAATTGAATGTTGAAAAAATATAATATTTCTTACAGCATTTTTCCAGGGAATTTTGCTATCCTTTTTTAAAAAAAATGTCATTGATATAAATCCATTGTATATGTTTTTTAAAGTTTGAAATCTAACTTAGCACACAGAAAGCAGGTATGCTAGAAGAATACTGACACCTTGTTTCAAGCACATAACACAAAGAGAAAAGCAGATTCAATTTAGTGGCTTTTAGTAAGGCTGATTTGTGACATCCTATGTAGAAGTTTTCATGCTTTTCTGCCCTCTTTTGCCCTTTGCTGCTGATGTTTTCCTCTTGGATTTCCAATCTGACATCAAGTAAGATGTTAAGCATCAGAAGCAAATTTTTCTATTTCAGTCACTGAAGCTTCTCCCTTAAATATGCTTAGCATCCCCTGTTTACCTATTTTGATAATTTTATCCACCAACTGTATTCTTCTATTTGGATCTACTGATAAGATTAAGATAAGATAAGATTAACTTATTTTAGAGTTATGTTTGAGATGCATATCACATTCTCCAATATCACATTCTCTGTTTTATCCTCTCTGTCATCCTCAGTGGCTGACAAAGTTGCCCACCTCATGGCAATCAACTCTGGGGAACTCCAGAAGGGCATTACCAGGCCACGTGTGAAGGTGGGGAATGAGTTTGTGACCAAGGGGCAGAACCAAGACCAGTGCAACTACTCCATTGGTGCCCTGGCCAAAGCCGTGTATGACAAAATGTTCAAATGGATGGTTGCCAGAATAAACAAAACCTTGGACACCAAGATGCAGCGCCAGTATTTCATTGGAGTTCTGGACATTGCTGGCTTTGAGATCTTTGAGGTAAACAAATAATCCATTTCTATCCCTTCTATCACACAAATATAGAATTTTACTGAAAGAGATATTTAAATTGGTTTTGGTTGCAGCACTTAAACATTAACACAGTCTGGGTCAAAGTAACAGTTTTAATAAACCAAAAGCTCTGGAGTATAAAAATTCCTGAATTAAATCCATGAATTTCACAGTTATTGCCTATTTCTTCACAGTTCAACAGCTTCGAGCAGCTCTGCATCAACTTCACAAATGAGAAACTGCAACAGTTTTTCAATCACCACATGTTCGTGCTGGAGCAGGAAGAGTACAAGAAGGAAGGAATCGACTGGGTCTTCATTGACTTTGGTCTGGACCTGCAAGCCTGCATTGAGCTGCTGGAGAAGGTGAGATAAGGGAGGAATGATTATATGCCTTTACATACACCGTGTTTCAGTAATTTGAGCCGTGTGGGTTGAAGTGTTTTGAGTTCATAGTTTCATTGTCCTTTTGCAGCCCATGGGGATCTTCTCAATCCTAGAGGAGCAGTGTGTGTTCCCCAAGGCCACTGATGCTACCTTTAAATCTGCCCTGTATGACAATCATCTGGGCAAGTCCAACAACTTCCTGAAGCCTAAAGGAGGGAAGAAAGGCCCAGAAGCACACTTTGAGCTGGTCCACTATGCTGGCACTGTGAGTTTGTAAACCTCAAAATGAAATCTGATTAAGTCTGTGTCACCATTTCATTTTGGATTATAGCCATTACATCAGTTTTCGATGTCTTTCCTTTCAAATGTCAGAATTAACTGATCTTGCTCCCTTTACTTCATTGTTAAGGTGGGGTACAATATCACAGGCTGGCTTGAGAAGAACAAGGATCCACTGAACGAGACTGTGGTGGGCCTGTTCCAGAAGTCATCTATGAACCTTCTGGCTGCTCTCTTCAAGGAGGAGGAGCAACCTGCAGGGACCAAGAAGCAGAAGAAGGGCTCATCCTTTCAGACTGTTTCTGCTTTCTACAGGGTATTCAGCCATTTCTGTGCTCCAGACTGTTCCTGTTCTGATATTCTGCAAATGATAAAGACAGAATCTTTTTAAATTCACCCCATAGGGGATCAGACTTTGACAAAGCACATACATTAACCTAAAAAACCAAAGTGAGTTCTGTCTACTCTCAGCACTGTTTTGTTTTATGATAATTTGGTTCCAAGTGGCATTAAAAAATGCATGTTTTTGGTATTGGGGGGAGTTCAATAAGTCTTTAATATTGTTCATCTCCATTTTCAAACAGGAGCAGCTGAACAAGCTGATGACCACGCTGCACAGTACTGCCCCTCACTTTGTCCGCTGTATTGTACCTAATGAGTTCAAGCAGTCAGGTAAGATACAGCACAGCTAAACACAGTGCAGATCTTCAACATGAAAGGATACCTCTGAGTATCATAGGGTTCATACATTGAGCAATCTTGAACATTCACTTTTATACTCCAGAATGAATACTTTAAAGTATAAATGAGTCAAAAATATGTGTTCAATAATCAAAATGTATGAAGATCATTATTTTTACAACTCACAGACAACATGAAAGGATACCTCTGTGTATCGTAGGGCTGATACATTCCACAATCTTGTATGTTCTCTTATATCATTGAGTTTTATACTCCAGAATAGGTACTTTTAAAATGCTACACAAAAATACGAAAAATAAACACAAAAGTTCACTTTTCCGAACATATAATAGGTTTATTTTTTAAATAAAGCTGAAAATGTGACCCTGGCAGCTCTGTGCAGGGATGCTACCTGACCATGTCCCTGTCTTCACCCAGGGGTTTGTGATGCCTTCCTGATTCTGCACCAGCTGGCCTGTAATGGTGTGCTGGAGGGAATCCGCATCTGCAGAAAGGGCTTCCCCAACAGGCTGCAGTACCCGGAGTTCAAGCAGAGGTCATTCTGGCAGTCATTGTGTATTTCCTACTGGGGCTGGTGCTTACCTGAAGAAAAAGAAGCGACTGAACTCTGAGTAGAATGTTGGGCAATAGCTCAAATACAACACAACCCCCTCCCATCTTAAATTGTAAACTACTTTGTATGCAAATCAGGATTTATATATTCAAGATTTTTATTTAATTTGATGTAATACTTTAGTGGGGCGTCAGCATGGGGGGTGAATTGTTGTCCAATTTCTTTTCATTAGCTGATTTTGTCATGATCTTTGTCAGTCAAAGAACAAGATAAATCCATTAGTGTGAGTGAAAAAATTCCTATTTTATCCCTGTAGTCACATATAGATATGTACAGTAATTTCGATTCTCTTCACAATAGAGTAAGCTAAGCTAAATAGCAGGTTGCTTTTGTTATTATGTAGAAATCAGGAAAGGTCAGATGCTGTACATTTCAGTATCTAACCTTTATTTTTTGCAGAATAACTACACAAGTATTCTAATTTCCTGACACCATGTTTACTAGTGTGTATATTTTGCTGTTACAGGTATTATATTCTGAACCCCAATGTCATCCCTAAGGGATTTGTGGACAACAAGAAAGCCTCAGAGCTGATCCTGGGCTCTGTGGGCCTGGATGACATGGAGTACAGGATTGGGCACACTAAGGTGAGACTGGAGACAGAGTGAACAGATAAAATGCAACAAAGCTGAGGCCCGCATTTAATCAAGTCTTTGCCGGTTGGCACCTCAAGGAGTACATTTTCACATGCTTAGTTCCTCTTGTTTTTCTGTCTCTTCTCAAAGTCTCTAACAGTAAAGACTATGCATTAAACGCTGATATTAAAGAGAATGGGCTTTTTTTTACTTAATTCAAAACTTTGTCATATAAATAAAACATAGAGTTTTTATGTTTTTGAAATAAAGAAGAAATTTGCTTTCAGAAGATTTTAGGTCTTACATACTCTTTGCAAATTCATCCTAACGAAATACTGAATTTATTAAATTAAGGTTGGCATGTTATCTTAACTTTCATTCTAATTTTTTTAGAGGATGGGCAAGTTTAAATGTCTTTAAGACAAAGCACTCAGGAATCCATATTTTCCCCTCTAATGTGAAAGGTTTTCTTCCGTGCTGGAGTCCTGGCCAAGCTTGAGGACATGAGAGACGAGCGTCTGGCGAAGATCATGACCATGCTTCAGGCCCGACTCCGTGGTGTCTTCATGAGAATTGAGTTCAAGAAGATGCTTGAAAGAAGGTCAGTGCTGACAATATTCTTTGGCATGACTGTTCACTGCACAGTTAAATCTCAAGATTTAAATGCAGAGAGTATTTTTAATTATCCATATGAAACTGACACCATATCCTGAAAGTGTTCTCTAGGTTGAGGTTGCTTGCAGAGACACATGAAGAGATGTGACAGTAGAATCGGCTGAGAGGTCCTTCTTGCTATAATATTACACAACCACATCACACAAACAACATTTGTGTATTCGCATGTTCCATGCAGCACTGCTATTGTTGGTACTGTATATTGACATAAAAAGTATATGTATATATCCATATATTCCATCAGGGGAGGCACAGTGGTGCAGTAGCCACTGCATCACAGCACTAGGGCCCTGGGTTTGTTTTGGAGCTGGGGTGCTATCTGCATGGAGCTTGTATATTCACCCCTTGTTCGTGTGGGTTTCCTCGGGGTGCTCCAGTTACTGTGCCTCCCACGGTCCAATGACATACTTGTAGATAAAATGGTGTCTGGGAAAACTAGTCCTTGTGTGAGTGTGAGTGTGTGTGTCTGCATGTCAGCCTTGTTATCCTGTCCAGAGTGCACACTGTCTTGCACCTGCTGCTGCTGTGATAGACTCCAGTTCTCCTTCCACCCTGTACTAGATAAAGCAGTTAGAAAATGGATAGATACATACTTTCAGAAAATTTAGGAGAGATGTTCAGCCTCAGGTTAAATATTTTAGCAATGATACTAAGTTATTGTGTGTATACACCAAGCTGAATGTTCTTGATGGATGTCTTGTAGAATTGCTCTGATCGCCATCCAGCGTAACGTGCGCAAATTCCTGCAGCTCCGCTACTGGGGATGGTGGAAGCTCTACAACAAAGTAAGTGGAGGGAGTCTAGGACTCAGCCGCCTTCTGTAGTGTCAGTGTGGGACAGAACCCCTCCAGCTTCCCTCTTTCTGATGTCCTGCCCTTCAGGTGAAGCCTCTGCTGAATGTGGCACGGCAGGAGGATGAGATGAAGGCCAAGGAGGAAGAGCTGCGCAGTGCAATGGAGAAGACCCAGGAGATGGTCAACAGGATCAAGGAGCTGGAAGAGAAGTTGGCCACCCTCTCCCAGGAGAAGAATGACCTAGCTTTGGCTCTGGCAGCTGTGTGTACTATTCCATAAGACTTAAAGCAGAGCTTAAATGTGGTTAGGCATTTACTAGATCACAGCAGATTTTCTCACTCTCCTCCAAGGTCTTATTGATAAACGTTTCTGTCTTAACTTTCTCAAAATCACATTTTATTTTATATTATGAATAGATAGTCAGTTTCCTCACTGGGATCAGTGGAATGGTAATTGGAATGGTAATTCCACCCTGAGGTTTTTAAGTCCTCTGCTGTTAAAGCTTAACTCCTGCCCATGTCTCATTCTCTCTACATCCCCTGCCTGCAGGATCAAGAGACACTGGCAGACGCAGAAGAGCGCTGCACCCAACTGATGAAAACAAAGATCAACATGGAGAGCCAGATCCAGGAGATGAAGGAGCAGCTGGAAGAAGAAGAGAGTACAGCCAGTAGCCTTGGGGCCCATAAGCGCAAGCTGGAGGGGGAGCTCAATGACCTCAAGAGGGACCTGGAGGGGCTTGAGTCCACTCTCGCCAAGACCGAGAAAGAGAAACAGGTAAGATCACCTTCTGTCCTTCAGGAAGGGCCATCTCTCTCTTAGACTGAGCAGAGAAACAGTTTGGATTGTTTTTCTTTAATTTGGACAGGGAGGTTCAATACGTATAGATTTTAGTATTGCACACACTTTGTCTTCATCCTCAGAAAATGTACTAAATTTCAAAATATTTGAAAAGAGGTTATAATAAACTATTCCATAATTCTAAGAGTAGTACTATCAGTATTATTGTAGTTATAATTTAAAATTTACCTGGCAATTACAATGTGGAAAAGTTTTTAAAGAAACTGATACAAACATGGTAAATTAAACAGGACCTTCACACAGAAATAAACCAAAGTTTTAACTTGATTCAGTATCCAGAAATGTAAAATAAAAATAAATTAACACAAATTCTTCTTTAAACCTTACACAAAGCGGAATGAGCTTTCTCTAGTTGTGAACGGTATATTGTTCTACTATAAAATCACTTAGAAGATTAGAAAATGGAATTGACTCATGAAAGAGTCCCCTGCCAATTTTGAACTATAGCTGGAATTCACATATTCTTGTGCACTGCTTTGAAAGTTTATTTAGAAGGTTTCCTTCTTGAAGGTTCACCACCAATACAAATTATATAACCGTTTTCCAACTTCCCAGTTTGTACTACTCTGAAAGTAATGTTTGTTCTCTATTTCTTAATCTATTGCTTTGGTTTTATTATGCATTTTGTACGCAGAATAGACCTACGCAAAAACAGCCAGAGATTAAGAACATTCTGAATCATGTATCCAATAAGCATGATTCTCATCTTGTTCTTCCGCAGGCTCTGGACCACAAAGTGCATAACCTGACTGGAGACCTGGGCCAAAGAGATGACAGTATAGCCAAACTCCAGAAGGAAAAGAGAGCTCTCGAGGAGTTGCATCAGGTGAGGCCTGCTTCAATGTTCTAGAACTGCTTCCTGCCTGACAGAAAACAAGGTTTGTTCCTGTTTACATATACAGTAATGATGCGGTATTTGCATTTTGTTTCCAGAAAACTCTGGATGATCTCCAGGCAGAGGAGGACAAGGTGAACCACCTCACTAAGAACAACAGCAAACTCAACACCCAGATCCATGAGGTGAGTGAGTTACCAGCAGAGATGGAAAATGAACAGTCAATGCAGCAGATACTGTGGTGCTCCCAGAAGAAAATAGCTGAACGTTTGTATGATGAGACTACCTCTCCTTGATCTTTCAGCTTGAAGACAACTGGGAACAAGAGAAGAAGATCCGTGGTGAGGTGGAGAAAGCACGACGGAAAGCTGAGGGGGATCTGAAAATGACCATTGAAAACCTGAACGAGATGGAGAGAGCCAAGCTCGACCTTGAAGAGGCTGTCAAAAAGTAAGAATGTCATCAGGCTGAGTCACCAGGAGTCAAGGAGCATAGGGGAACAAGTAACTCTGCAGAGCTAAAGATGAATTACATAGGTTTTGTGTGTTATCCCTGTGCTATTGAGATGAACTTAATTAGCAATTTGAGGGCAATAATTTAAAGTGTTACTTCTTACATTATAATATTATTACTCACTGTACATCTCTTCACTTCCTCATGTGACATTAGTGTGTGACATTGGGTATTTTGATGTTTGTCTTATAGGAGGGATTTTGAGATCAACCACTTGAACTCAAAATGGGAGGACGAGCAGTCTCTCAACTCTACTTTGCAGAGGAAGCTCAAAGAGCACCAGGTACTAAGAAACACATGCAGTCTCGTTACAAGGCAGACAGGAATAACAGCCAATGAAAGTCATTCAATTTTACAGCTGTCTGGTTCTTCCTTGCAATTAATTTTTATAGTGAAGGCAGCTGTTCCCGACCCCAGGCCATCTTCTCATAAAGCCTGGAAAGCTATTAAGATAGACCTCTCAGCACTCAGGGTTCTCTATTTTCTCAAAAGCGTTTTCATCAAAATATCAGTCTATGTATACACCTTACATAAGCAGTCTCAACTGAGTCCAATAGCATTCAACTTATTATTTTTATTATATTAATAATAATAATATTTTATAATTATATTATCATATTATTATTTAAATAAACTCTGAAGTTCTGCATGTTTGTATGTTTAAGCCATCTTCTCAACTTAAAAAGTCATATGAATCATAATACTGCAGGAGGTTTCTTGACTAAATTTTGCTGAGCTGCTTGAGTCTGTTTAAGGGTGACAGCAGTTCCCCACCTATAATATGAATCCACTTTCTTCCAGTTTCCAGTTACAAGATAGAAGTTACAACCTTGTCTGCAAACTTCTAAAGATTTGTGCTTGGTTGATTTGCAGGCTCGCATTGAGGAGCTAGAAGAGGAGCTTGAAGCTGAGAGAGCCATGAGAGCCAAGGTATCTCCATCAAGAGCTCAGTGCTGCTGTTCAGAAGTCTGTTGTCATTCCTGAGGAAGTGATTCTGTAACCATCTTCCTTCCTTTATTGAAACAGGTAGAGAAGCAACGTTCTGACTTGTCTCGTGACCTGGAGGACATCAGTGACAGGCTGGAGGAAGCAGGGGGTGCTACAGTTGCTCAGGTGCATCAGTTAATCCTTTTATAAATTGTCCTTCAAGTTTACCTACTTAGTCATGGCTATGTCATCATTATTATTTTCTCAGACATACATTTATGGACCTAAAACAGTTTCATTTTTCATCTTTATGCTGACTAATTTTATTGTATTGATTAAAGGAATTATTGGAAATCTGAGCACTATAGCCACAGCCTTAATATATAGTGAATATTACAAGATGCAACTTGTCTCAGACATACTGTAGTTCATAGCGCACAGTGATTCAGTCAGAAGGATTTGGTGTGATACTAACTGGAGAATTTCTGGTCAATGATCCCCAGATTGAGCAGAACAGGAAGAGGGAAGGAGAGCTGCTTAAGCTTCGCCGGGAGCTGGAGGAGGCAGCTCTGCAGTCTGAAGCCACAGCCTCCGCTCTGCGCAAGAAACATGCCGACTCCATGGCAGAGCTTTCTGAGCATGTGGAGAACCTGCAAAGGGTGAAGGCCAAGCTGGAGAAGGACAAGCAGGTTATGAAGGCTGAGATCGATGACCTCAGTGCCAATGTGGAGACTATCCAGAAGGCCAAGGTAAAGAAGGTTGAGTTTAGAGCTCTGTAGGTTTCAAATGAGAGGAAGCCCATCTGGCCTGTATGGTAGCTGGTATCTTATTGATCCAAGAATCTCTTTCCATCATTTCTCAATATGCACTATTTTACATCTGATTGAATGTATGTTTAGTCGATGTCTGTTCATAACAGTTGTAGTCAAGATGTTTACGTGAAGGACCTTTTCTCACATTCAAACATTTGTACTGAGACCTAATGTTTTGTATCAAAATCTAAAATTGCGAAGTGGTATTCAAAGGACATTAGAGAAAGTCAGCAGCAACTGTTTCTCTGTGCAGCTGAACGGAGAAGCCCATGTTCGCAAACTGGAGGACAGTCTGGCAGAAGCCAACGCCAGACTGGCAGAAGTGGAGAGGAACCAAACGGAGCTGAATGCCATCAAAACCAGGATCTCTGGTGAGAAATCTTGTACATTTTATTGTGCCTCCTCTCCATTACTCAAGGCCTACATATGTCCACATATGTAGATACATTATATATATAGTATTTCTACAAAACAGGGGTAGGAAGGGTGTTACTTGTTAACAAAAGTTAAATTATAGTGAAATATTTATTCTAAATAATAGTCATGCACTGTGTTGAAGATGGGTTGTAAAACTATATCTCTCCTTCCACCCCTCCTGCTACAGTGTATAGGTTAGTGTCATTTCACCATATCACTTCGGATCTCTCTTTATGAAGTATAGTACATGGAGACGAGCTGCAAGTATGGTTATCATTGCTGACCAATACAAATGTCAGAGATATGTTTTTCAATCATCCTGGTCCTGCTCTCTCCTGCTGTGCAGCTGAGAACAGCGAACTGAGCCGGGAACTGGAGGAGACGCAGAGCAGGTTGAACCAGGTCCTGCGTGT